TCAGGGTCCCATCCAATTCTACAATTCTATGATTCTTTGCTGCTTTTTCCCGTATGAAACTAAACCAACCAGGTTCGAGGTTCTTTTATTAATTTAAAAAGCCCCAAACAACTTTGGTCCAGGGCACCTCAGAGGTTACCCAAATCCTTATATCCTAATATCCCAGCTTGATCACTGAGATCATCCGCAGGAGCACTGCTGGCTGGTGAAGCTTATTTGACAACAATGAGAAACTGAGCCTTTAGTGTCATGGCCCCAGTCCAGCGGAACTCCCTGCTACTGGAGGAGTTCAGCAGGTGGCCTTTTGTGTGCAAACTTTAAACCTAACTAAAAACATTTCTATTCTGCCAGGGCCTATGCACACTGCAGTGGACGCTGGTTGCGAAAGTGTCTGTGCGGATCACGTCGCAACCCGCAGAGTCGCACTGCAACGGCGCATCTGCGCACAATGGTTGCGATTCGGCGCTTTGCGCAGCACATTAGCACTTCTCACACGCACGACTGCCACCCGGAAGTACGCTTCAGTACTTATGAGTTTGCGGCGTCTGTAACCCGGAAAAAATGCACTGCACCTATTTGGAAAGCATGACACACGGTATATAATAAGAAATAAATTGGGCATATGCTTTTTGCAGACTAGAAAGATTCCATGCCTTCGTTTGCTGGTCTTTGGTGGGCACAAGATTCACTTGTTCTTGGTAAATGATCAAGAAAGGAGAACAGGAAGGAATTTTGGGGGGGAGCCCCCATTATCTCCTTCACATTTTGTAACTCACTCTACATGGGGCTGCCCTTGAGACTGACGGCCTCGGACCCTCGGACCTATGGGACCGCCTCTCCTGGTATGTCCCATGGAGGACCTTACAATCTGCAAATAAAAACATTTTGAAGGTCCCGGGCCACAGGGAGGTTAGGCTGGCCTCACCCAGAGCCAGGGCCTTTTCGGCTGTGGCTCCGATCTGGTGGAACACTCTGTCCCAAGAGACCAGGGCCCTGAGGGACTTGACATCTTTCTGCAGGGCCTGCAAGACGGAGCTGTTCTGCCAGGCCTTTGGCCAGGGCACAGCCTGACTCCCTCCTTTGGCAATCTTCACAGAACTTTAGCCTAATGGTTGCCATTAATCTGATTTGAACTGATTTTATAATGAAATGATTTTAGAATATTGTAAGCCGCTCTGAGCCCGGCTTCGGCTGGGGAGGGTGGGGTATAAATAATAATAATAATAATAATAATAATAATAATAATAATAATAATAATATCATTATCTCCCCCTTGGAAACAGAAGGGTCAGACTGAGTCCAAACCAAAAGGCTGGTGGAACAGCTTCTGTCTTGCAGGCCCTGCGGAAAAGATGTCAAGTCCGCAGGGGCCTGGTTCCTTGGAAGCAGAGCGTTCACCACGTCGGGGGCCAGTACTGAAAAGTCCCTGCCCCACTAGTTGAGACAATCTAAGAGCTGTTGACAGAAGAACAGTATTGGGAGAGTGCAGACTCTCCTTCCTCAGGAGGCTTTTAAGGAGAGGCTGGATGGCCGTCTGTCACGGATGCTCTTGTTGAGATTCCTGCATTGCTGGGGGCTGGACTGGATAGCCCTTTAGGGGTCCCTCCGAACTCAACAATACTGCGATTCCTTTGCATCGCCAGGCACTGGAGAAGAAAGAGGCACCTCCGTGTCTCCCCAGGGGCCCCCGATCCTCAGCTGAAGGGGATCCAAGAGCCACAACAGCCCCTCTGCTCTGCAGGAGAAGCAGGCACAGCCCCACACTCCCCCCCCCCCCAGGGAAGGGGAACGTCAAAAGAACCATGGCAGGAAAAAGCTGAAAGCCTGAGTGAGCCAAGCCCTGTTTGCGCGTCACATGCTCCAGTCAGCATCTCATCATGCGCCAGAACAACACATGCTCCAAAAATAACTTCCCCGGTGCTCAGCTCGGATTCATCACTATTTGGCTTGGGGGGAGACCGACAGCCCAGCAGCCCCCCAGGCCTGGATCTCACTGGTGGACGGGACTGCAGAACTGGCACCAAGACAAAGAGCAACTTCTCTCTCTCTCCCTTCTCTCTGCGCCCTTCAGGACGCTCTTCGTCAGACACGGCGACTCAGAAACGCACCTTGAAAAAGGTAGCTCACGACCCAGGAGAGGGTGGCTCTCAAACCGTCAACACACACACACACAGCCCGAGGGGTCCGCAGCGCACTTCTGCAGGGTCCACAGGCCCACAACTGAAGGGGAAGGTGGGAGATCAAGGCGCCCTCCACTGTCAGAAACAAAGAAAGGCTCCCTTCTGCACTCCAGTGCAGCTGTACCGATCGAAGACGCTGGAGGTGGAAAGGGCCTCTGCATGCATGCCCCACTCCAGATATTTAGGGCAGGTGACAACACAGGTTCGGCCACCCTGCCTGAGCCACCAGGGAGCAGCGCTTGGCCATTTCCCCCCAGCATGCTCGGTACAGCTGCATCGGAGTGTAGAAGGAAGATTCCACTTAGCAACTTCCCCATGTGGTGGCTGCAGTGGAAGAAAGCCAACCGGAAGGATCTCTGCCTCGGGACAGAGAAGGAAAGCGTAAAAGCAGGGCAGCAGGGCTGGCGCCATCACCAAAAACCAAACCTGAGATTTGGCACCAGGAAAAGACCCCGCTCTTCTCAGTGTACGGGGACAGGACTCTGCCCTCAAGGCGGCACGGAAGCTGCCCGTGGCCTTGGCCAAACACTTCTGCCTTGAAACACCCCCCCAAAAAGATGTGGTCATTAAACAAGTTTCACCTTGACGGCAGCCCAGCATTCAAAGCCAAACCCCAACATCCGACCACCTGCAGAAACACTGCATTCAGTACTGCCATTCCAGAGTCCAGCTGGGGGACTGAGGAGAAGCTGCAGCGCTCAGAACCTAGATAGGACCCTCAGAATGACCCCCCCCAAGCCCCCTTGACATCTGAAACACCCTGGGGGGATCTCAGGGAGGAGGCGCCAAGGAAAGGGGGCGGTGCAGAGGTTTGGCCCAAGCTGGCAACCCGCCTCCGAAGCCCCTCCTGCCGGAGCCTTGAGTAAGATGATGGCAACACAGAGCCAAGCGCCCACTTGGAGACCAATGGCCCAGAGTGCCCTGGGACGCCCCCAAGGCGGCAGGACCTAGAGAGTGCCAAATCTCACGTAGCCACAGGTTACACCAGCAACTCCCCAAAGCCCCAAACTGCCCCGTCTGCTCTCACCTTTGCCTTTAGAGCCTCGGAGAGGCACTCTGGCCCACGGGCACACCATACCCAGGGGTCATGATCCAAACTTGCCACATCCCTAGGCACAGGTCAGCCAGAGCAACCAAGCAGAGCCTATCTGCCCTAGCAGATTTCCAGTGGTACCTCGTTTTGCGTCCGCCCCGTTTAGGGTCCATTTAGTCCAACGTCCACAGCAAGCCCAGAAGTACCGGAATGGGTTACTTCCGGGTTTGCTGCTCGTGCACGTGCAAAAGCGCTAAATCGTGCTTCGCGCATGCGCAGAGAGGCGCTTTGTCGAGTGCCCGGGGCTCCAGAACGGATCCCGGACGCAAAAGGAGGTACGACTGTACTGCCAAGTTACGCACCACACAACCCACCCCAGACCTTTGCAATGGCTCCAAAGAGATCTGTGAGCTGCGCAGGCAGGAGCCCCTCCAGGGACACCTGGAAACGAAAGCTGGATTTCTGGATATGGAGCGATGCAACTCCCCAGAAGTTTAGGAAGCTGATGCAGGTCTCAAATTAGTTTTCAGTTCATTGCTGATTTTTTTTAATGTTTTAAATTGTTGTTTTTCACCAGTTTTGCTTTTGCCAATAATTTTTTTCCGTTTTACTCTCGATGCAAACCACATGGAGGTCATTGTTGGTTTTTGCAACCAATTAATGTATAAAGGTAAAGGTAACCCCTGACCATTAGGTCCAGTTGTGGACGACTCTGGGGTTGCGACGCTCATCTCACTTTACTGCCAGAGGGAACACCGCAGTGTACAGCTTCTGGGTCATGTGGTCATGTGACTAAGCCGCTTCTGGCGAACCAGAGCAGCGCACGGAAAACACAATTTACCTTCCCGCTGGAGTGGTACCTATTTATCTACTTGCACTTTGATGTGCTTTCGAACTGCTAGGTTGACAGGAGCAGGGACCGAGCAACGGGAGCTCACCCCGTCGCGGGGATTTGAACCACTGACCTTCTGATCGGCAAGCCCTAGGCTCAGTGGTTTAACCCACAGCGCCACCCGCGTCCCTAATTAGTGTATACATTTTATAAAATAATCATCAATTAAGAGGAGCGGCGTGGAAAGTGACAAGGAGGACGTTGTTCATGTCATGCTCAAAACCAGGTTTTTGAGCATAGCAGAGCCGCTTCCTAGGATGGCTCCGTTGCCGCCTGGCTCCGCTTCCGACTCTGCAAGCTGCTCCAGCCCTGCCAAAAAAGAAACCTGGCAAATCTGAGCCTGGCAGGGAGGAGGGCAGGAGGGCAGAGTCCGACCGAAAAGCAGCCAGAAATCCCACTTTCCCCTTGGAGCTCCACGTGGGACCCTCCAGGAGCAGAGGCGCCCTGGGGAGACCTGCCGGCTGCAGATCCTGGCCCTGTTTCTCCCTATTCACCCCGAGTCCTCCTTGGCCCCTTGGCTCTGGGGGAGCTGCCAGCCTGCCACTTTCTCCTCTCTCCAGACCCCCCTCAAGACCTGCTTCAGCAAAGCCTTTCTCCACCGCAAGCCCAACTGCGCCAGACCAGCCTCCTCACCCCAGTTCTCCCCCACCAGACCCACCGAACGTGGGCAGGGGTGCCCGTTCCACAGGCTCCACGCCCCCTGCTTCTTCCAAGTCCTGCCCGGAGCCCAGCGGGCACGACACAGAGGGCCAAGATGCAGCAGCACACAGACCGGGGGCCACAGACCTGCCCCTCCCAGCACCACCCTCCACCCTGGCAGACACAGGCAACAACAGCAGCGGGACAAAAGCTCTCTCCCCCCAACCAAAGCCGCGCTCCCCGGCCAGCCTCTCACCTGGGCTTGGGGGGCATCTCCTTGGCATCCTGGAGGCTGAACCAGCTGCTGTTCCTGCTCCTGCCCCTCTCTTCTCCGGCCGCCACCACCACCCGGGGGGGCGGCTCCCCGCTCTTCCCGCCGCCCTCTTTGCTGCTCCCCCGGCGGAAGAAGCCCGTCTTGGAGAACCTCTTCTCCTCCTCCGCCTCCTCCTCCGGCTGGGGCCGGACCCTCTGGACGTCCCCGGAGAAGACCATGGGCGTGGCGATCTGGATGGGCTTGCTCTCGGCGTGCAGGGCGGCCGCCGCGGCCGCTGCCTCCTCCTCCTCCCTCCTGGCCCTGACGCGGTGCTTGTTGAGGGCGATGGTCTTGACGGACAGCTTGTCTTCCTCCTGGGCCGCCAGAATGGGAGGGGAGGGGATGAAACGGGGAGGGTCTTTGGGGGGCGCCTTCGGCAAGATGCCGCTGGACCAGGGCGGCAGGTCCGGCTCGGGGGCGGCCGGGGGCTCGGATCCAAAGGCCTCCTCGTGCGGCTTGCTGGCGGCGACGGCGGCAGGAGGAGGAGCAGGCGCTGCGGAGATGAAGGAAGGCTTTGGCGCGGGCTCTTCGCAGTAGATGTGGCTCCCGTTGATGCACAGGGAGGACCGGGAGATGGGGTCGTTTTGGGGCTTCAGGCTCTGGGTCGACTGGGAGGCCTCGTCGCTGAAGGCCCTCTTGTGGGTCAGCTTGGGGGAAGGCAGGAAGTCTCTGACTGGAGAGGAAGACAGAGGAGGGGAAGGGTAATTGGGGGGGCCAGCCGTCCGCATCACCCACAAGGCCCCCCAACCCCTTGGGTCTGCCCCCTTCCTGCTCTTGAGCCGCAAGATGAAAATGCACTAGTCATACCTCGGGTTGAAGGAGCTTCGGGACAAGTATTTTCGTTGCGCGCGGTGACCCGGAAGTAACAGAGCGCGTTACTTCCGGGTTTTGCCGCTCGCGCAGGAACAGACGGTCAAAATGACGTCATGCGCATGTGCAGAAGCGGCAAATTGCGACCCGCGCACGCACAGACGCGGGTTGCATTCACTTCGGGATGCGAACGGGGCTCCGGAACGGATCCTGTTCGCATCCAGAGGTACCACTGTACTGTATTTTAATATTTTGTTGGAAGCCCAGCCAGATGGGCGGGGTATAAATAATAAATCAAATCAAATCATAATCTAATTCAAGAAAAAAACACAAAACAAAATAACACACACAAAAAAGACCAAATTACAATCGTTACAATTAGTGTTGTGTCAGCTACCCTTTGGAATAATAATAATAATAATAATAATAATAATAATAATAATAATTATTATTATTATTATTATTATTATTATTATTATGTGGCAGCCAGGAGGCTAGAGGCACCGACTGCCAAACCCCTAAGCAGACCCCCTTCCAGGCCCTGTTCAAAGTGCTGGGAGAGGGTCTCATGCAGCATTGGGATAAGAACCTACAAAAAGCCCTTCAGCAGCAGGATCCGGCCAAAGGGGGCACATTTCATCCAGCATCTCGTTCCCACAGGGGCCGAGCCCAGGGCCACAGAAGCCCAGGAACCTCCGGAGAGAATCTGCTGCTGGATCAGGACCACGGCACTTCAAGGGCGCATCCTGCTCTCATGTTGGCCGACTCGATGCCCAAATGGCAAGCACCAAAGCTGGGCTCTCCCTACTTGTGATTCCCAGAAGCTGCGGCCTGATCCAGCTCTCCTTATGCCCCCTACAAAGTCACATTGCGTGTTTACTTCCGAGGTGACCAAAGGTCTGGAAACCAAGCCCTATGAGGAACCGTTGAGGGACTTGGATATGCTTAGCCTGTAAGACCAGGAGGAGAGATGAGGTAAAGGTAAAGGTACCCCTGCCCATACGGGCCAGTCGTGTCCGACTCTGGGGTTGTGCGCCCATCTCACTTAAGAGGCCGGGGGCCAGCGCTGTCTGGAGACACTTCCGGGTCACGTGGCCAGCGTGACGAAGCTGCTCCGGCGACCAGCACCAGTGCAGCGCACGGAAATGCCGTTTACCTTCCCGCTATAAAGTGGTACCTATTTATCTACTTGCACTTTGATATGCTTTCGAACTGCTAGGTGGGCAGGACCTGGGACCGAGCAATGGGAGCTCACCCCGGCGGGATTCGAACCGCCGACCATGTGATCGGCAAGTCCTAGGCGCTGAGGTTTTATCCACAGCGCCACCCGTGTGGGAGAGATGAGAGACCTCTTCCAATATCTGAAGGAGGAAGGAGCCAGCTTGCTTTCTCCTTCTCCGGAGGGCAGGACCTGAACCCACAGCTTCAAGTCACAACAAAGGAGATTCCGTCTAAACAGGAAGAACTTTCGGACTGTATGAGCTGTTCGACAGATAAGGGCTCCCTCAGAAAGTGGTGGGCTCTCCTTCCTTGGAGGTTCTTAAGCAGAGGTTGGGTGGCCCTCTGTCCCGAATTTTAAAGCTGTGTTTCCTGTGTTTCCGGGATTGGACCGGATGATCCTTGAGGTCCCTTCCTACTCTAGGTCTCTCAAATACTGCCTCTCCCCACCTGACCTGACATCATCACCAGAGGCCTTTCTCCCTTTCCCTCCACACAGAGAGGTCTGGAGGGGGAGCACACAAGAACAGGCCTTTTCAGTGGTGGCTCCCTGCTTGGGTGATGCTCTCCCCAGGGAGGCTCACCTGGAGCCTACGCTAAAAACCTTTAGGCGCCAGGTGAGAAGATTTCCATTCAATCTATGGCCTTTTTCATGTGCCTGGGAGGTGGGATTATTGCTTTTTAAATATTATATTATGCATTTTGCGTTTTTATGTTGAAAACCGCCCCATGATTTTGGAAGAAGGGCAGTATATCAATTTATTTTTTTTTAAATGTGACTTTTAAGTACAGTCGTACCTCCGCTTACGGGACGCGGGTAGCGCTGTGGGTTAAACCACAGAGCCTAGGGCTTCCGATCGGAAGGTTGCGGTTCGAATCCCTGTGACGGGGTGAGCTCCCGTTGCTCGGTCCCTGCTCCTGCCAACCTAGCAGTTCGAAAGCACATCAAAGTGCAAGTAGTATCAATAGGTACCACTCTGGCGGGAAGGTAAATGGCGTTTCCGTGTGCTGCTCTGGTTTGCCAGAAGCGGCTTAGTCATGCTGGCCGCATGACCCAGAAGCTGTACGCCGGCTCCCTCGGCCAGTAAAGCGAGATGAGCGCCGCAACCCCAGAGTCAGCCACGACTGGACCTAATGGTCAGGGGTCCCTTTACCTTTACCACCGCTTACCCTCTGGATACGGAAACTTTGGGGTGCGAATGCGGCAAACCCAGAAGTATTTTTCCGAGTTCCGCTGCATGCGTGGAAGCGGTCCTCCAGTTGCAAATTCCTCGGGATGCGGCCAGACCTCCAGAACGGATCCCGTTTGCAACTTGAAGTACCCCTGTAACTGTATTTCCTCAGCAAAACACCGCACCTTTCTAGGCTCTACTCAATCACCGAATTGCAGAGTCAAAAGGGCCCCCCAGGGATCATCCATCCCAACCCGCCGCAATGCAGGAATCGCCTTCGACCAGCTATTCCCCCCGCCCTTCCTCCCTCTTACCAGAGCGCTCGGTGGAGAAGCTGCTGTGGCGGCTGGGCGAGGGCACCATGCCCACCTCGGAGGGTCCGAGGCCCACCAGGCTGCCGGCCGAGGAGAGGGTGCTGTCGGAGCCCAGGGAGGTGTTGGACTGGGTGAGGGAGGACTTGCGCAGCTTGTTCTTGAAGAAGAAGCTGCCCTTGGCCTTCTTGCCCGCCAGGCCAAATTCCTCGTCCAGGGCCCCGCTGCTGCTGGGCACGATGGCCGAGGCCGACTCCAGGTCGTACTTCTGCCGGCCCTTCAGCTTGTCCTTCAGCTTCCCAAAGGGCGACCGGGGCTTGTCCTTGATGGACAGGTCAAACATGCTGGCCGTCAGGCTGTGGCGCGTGAACTGGATGCTCAGCTGGATCTCCCCGCGCTCTTTCTCCTTCTTGCCAGGCTTGGAGTGCAGCTTGTACCACCTGAGGGAGGAGAAGGGGCAAGAAACGCATGAGAAATGTGCCAGGCCAGGGGCCCGGCTAGTCCCCCATCCCCTTCTCACACAGGCCTGGTATCACCCCCAGGATCCGTCCCTCTTTTGCAAGAACTCAAATCTCTGAGCGTGAACATGCCCTCTGGAACTCCCTGCCTCTTGACACCAGGAACCTCAACTGCCCTCTTTTCAGAGCCTGCTCAAAACACCCTTGTTTCATCAAGCCTGCCCTGTGGAACGCCCTCCCAGCAGATGCCAAGGCAATAAACAACTATTTTACTTTTAAAAGACAACCAAAGACAGACCTGGTTAGGGACGTTTTTAATGTCTGATGATGCTGTACTGTTTTTAATACTCAGTTGGAAGCCGCCCAGAGTGGCTGGGGAAACCCAGCCAGATGGGTGGGGTATAAATAAGTGAGTGTCTGAAGGCGGTTGGAGGATAGATGGCAGCTAACAGATTGAGGTTGAATCCTGACAAGACAGAAGTACTGTTTTTGGGGGACAGGGGGCGGGCTGGTGTGGAGGATTCCCTGGTCCTGAATGGGGTAACTGTGCCCCTGAAGGACCAGGTGTGCAGCCTTGGAGTCATTTTGGACTCACATCTGTCCATGGAGGCGCAGGTCAATTCTGTGTCCAGGGGAGCTGTGTACCAGCTCCATCTGGTACGTAGGCTGAGACCCTACCTGCCCATAGACTGTCTCACCAGAGTGGTGCATGCTCTAGTTATCTCTCACTTGGACTACTGCAATGCGCTCTACGTGGGGCTACCTTCGAAGGTGACCCGGAAACTACAACTAATCCAGAATGCGGCAGCTAGACTGGTGACTGGGAGCGGCCGCCGAGACCACATAACACCGGTCTTGAAAGACCTACACTGGCTCCCAGTACGTTTCCGAGCACAATTCAAAGTGTTGGTGCTGACCTTGAAAGCCCTAAACGGCCTCAGCCCAGTATACCTGAAGGAGCGTCTCCACTCCCATCATTCTGCCCGGACGCTGAGGTCCAGCTCCGAGGGCCTTCTGGTGGTTCCCTCGCTGTGAGAAGTGAGGTTACAGGGAACCAGGCAGAGGGCCTTCTCGGTGGTGCTTCCCGCCCTGTGGAACACCCTCCCACCAGATGTCAAAGAGAAAAACAACTATCAGACTTTTAGAAGTCATCTGAAGGCAGCCCTCTTTAGGGAAGCTTTTAATGTTTGATGTATTATGGTATTTTAATGTTTTGTTGGGAGCCGCCCAGAGTGGCTGGGGAGGCCCAGCCAGATGGGCGGGGTATAAATAATAAATTAGTATTATTATTATTAACAACTCCCTGCCTTTTGATATCAGGAGTACCTGGAGTACTGTGTCCAGTTCTGGGCACCACAGTTCAAGAAGGACACTGACAAACTGGAACGTGTCCAGAGGAGGGCAACCAAAATGATCAAAGGCCTGGAAACGATGCCTTATGAGGAACGGCTAAGGGAGCTGGGCATGTTTAGCCTGGAGAAGAGGAGGTTAAGGGGTGATATGATAGCCATGTTCAAATATATAAAAGGATGTCACATGGAGGAGGGAGAAAGGCTGTTTTCTGCTGCTCCAGAGAAGCGGACACGGAGCAATGGATCCAAACTACAAGAAAGAAGATTCCACCTAAACATTAGGAAGAACTTCCTGACAGTAAGAGCTGTTCGACAGTGGAATTTGCTGCCAAGGAGTGTGGTGGAGTCTCCGCCTTTGGAGGTCTTTAAGCAGAGGCTTGACAACCATATGTCAGGAGTGCTCTGATGGTGTTTCCTGCTTGGCAGGGGGTTGGACTCGATGGCCCTTGTGGTCTATTCCAACTCTATGATTCTATGATTCTATGATTCTAGGAGCCTCAACTGTCCTCTTTTCAGAGGCTGCTCAAAAACCCCTTCTTTCGTCAAGCCCACCCAAGACGTATAGGAAGATTCCACCTTCTTTTAGTCTATGATTATTTTAGCTTTTTCAAAAGTCTTAAATCATTAATTCCTCTCGTTGATAAAATTATTGTTTTACCTTTTTGGCAAACTGAGGTTGTTGTGGTTTTTTTACAATCAAGCAGGGTACTGATTTTATGAAATGAACAAACAAACGAAATCTGCAAGCGGGGGGGGGGGGAATCTTCATGCAGAAAGACACTTCGGCCCCCACCTGACTTCAGCCCCGCCCTGGGAACCCAACCTGGCTCTTTGGGAACCCAAATAAAAATAACACCTTGATTTCTTACCCACCCTTTACCCGAAGGTCCCAGGGCGGGTCACAACCTTTTAAAGCTCAATATTAGAAGCATATTAGAAGCAGTATTCTTTTGCAAGGTAAGATTTTAAAAGTGCAAGGAATCAGCAATGTGGTAAACACAACCAAGCAACGAAAACTGCAAGACATGCACAAAACAAACAAAACTTGCTCTCTCTGTGTGTGTAACTGTTATTAAAATTTTCAAATATTTTCACAACAACCCTCAAGTCAAATAATTACATTATTTCATAAGCTGACTTCCTCCCCTCCCCACGGTGTTTTTACTCAGACCTTTTCTCCTGCGTTACATCTTAATCCATTGCAAAAAGTTTCTCTATTGCAATTATTTTGACATTTTTCTTCCGCTGCTGAATTACTGGACTGCTGTCGCTTAGTGGACACTTCGTTCCCGTTCCAGATTTCTCATGGCATTGCACCCCCCCCTTCCGGCTCTCATGTGTCCCATTCCCAAATCCTCCCCCCAGCACCCCCACCCCCACATTCTCCTCTGGGTCTTGCCTGAGACAACAACCCCACGTCCTTCTCAACCCTAAAACACCACCAGCCCCAGCACAGCCTCTTGCTCCTCCCATGGCGCAAGGCGAGCCGTTTTCGCCCCAAAACTCCCGGAACAAAATATGCTGAAGCAGCACCTCCAAAACACAGGAAGCGTGTGTTTTTTTGGGGGGGGCTGTAGAGGGGAAGGGGGACACAGCTGCTGCGTGAGCCCTTGCACGGTTTGCTCACAGGCAGGATGCGCTCCACAACTGGTTGGCAGCTGATCTGGGAGGACTGAAGGCGTTTGATTATTTGTAGAAATCATTTCTTTGTTCCTTGCCACAAACACCATTGTTGTCTCATTGGCAGCCTGTCGGGTTTAGTTGAAAGCCTGGAGGTTTTGGCCCCCCAGAGTGCAAATTGGCCAGGCGTCTCCGGAAGCCCACGCCAGCCCCCCCAAAAAACCCCAGGGAGGTTTGGGACCAGCTCCAGGAAGTCCCCTTCTCCTGGCAGGCCAAGTCCTGCTACGCAAGCCATGCAGCTGAGACACACCTGTGCCAACCTGGGTGCCCAAGACACAGACGTACGCCAACCTCGCAAGACCCCAGAGGTCCTGGCAGCTGCTTGCCCCCATCGCCCCCCCAGCTTGGTTGCCTGCAGGGAGCTCTCTGAAACCCTCTGCAGCAGGATCCCCCCCAAACTTGGGGCGCCAGCTGTTTTGGGAACTACAACTCCCATCGGCCCTAGCTAGAAGGACAAGAGGACAGGGATGATGGGAATTGTAGTGCAGCTGGAGACCCAAGGTTGGGAGTTGCTTGAAATTCCCTGGGCACCAGTGTTGTAAACAAAAAATTTCCCTTATGGGGTACCAAGAGCCCATATAGAGTCCTTACGTAGGTTTCCCTTTTGGTAGGAGAAAATAATAGAGGCCAACCAGAGAATATTGAGAAGCAAAGCAGCTCGTAAGCCTGATCTTTATTGATCTGTTGCAACAGGGTCCTCACTCCCCACACGCAGGAAAGGTGGAGGACCCAGAACAAAGGTCTGCCTGCCCTTATATAGACATTTTAAATTCCCTGCCCTGGAGCTCCAGACCACCCCTCCATACATCATACATACATCACAGGAGGGGTGTAACCTAAGACCACCCCCCAAATACACCATACCTACATCACAGAAAAGGCGGTCTACAGCAGAAATCTGAGTGCATTGTTTATCTCGTCTGACTGGTTACCTGTTTAATGGTCACTTGACTGGATTGCCTGGGGAGCCTGGCCAGTCTTTTGTAATGATAACTACTTAGTTCCTGAGCGAGGTCACAGCCTCACACCCTGTTCATATCTTAAATGTGCCCTTCAGACAGGATTTGTGAAGGAAAAGACAATGGGGAGACTTTTCCCTTTTCCTTTGACCTTGCAGAGAAAACATTTGCTCAGTTTGGGAATCAAAAATGGTTCCAAGTCGGTCTTCCTGTGCTGATCTATGTACGTGCTTGGTTGGTACATTTATGAACATTTCACATATATCTAAGACCAGGAGCAGCTCTGACACCTGCAGTTCCCACCTGCAACTGATCTTCAGAAGCATCGCTGCCTCCAATTGTGGAGACACAACATAGCATTTGTGGCTGGGAGCCCCCAATAGCCCCCTCCCCGCTTCCATGAGTCCTCTTTTATTTTTATTTTTTATTAATAATAGGAGAAGAAGGGGGTGGGCAGGTGTGGGGGACTCCCTTGTCCTGAATGGGGTAACTGTGCCCCTGAAGGACCAGGTCTGCAGCCTGGGGGTCATTCTGGACTCCCAGCTGTCCATGGAGGCGCAGGTCCATTCTGTGTCCAGGGCAGCTGTTTACCAGCTCCATCTGGTACGCAGGCTGAGACCCTACCTGCCTGCGGACTGTCTGTCCGGAGTGGTGCATGCTCTAGTTATCTCCCGCTTGGACTACTGCAATGCGCTCTACGTGGGGCTACCTTTGAAGGTGACCCGGAAACTACAACTAATCCAGAATGCGGCAGCTAGACTGGTGACTGGGAGCGGCCGCCGAGACCACATAACACCAGTCTTGAAAGACCTACATTGGCTCCCAGTACGTTTCCGAGCACAATTCAAAGTGTTGGTGCTGACCTTGAAAGCCCTAAACGGCCTCAGCCCAGTATACCTGAAGGAGCGTCTCCACCCCCATCCTTCAGCCCGAACACTGAGGTCCAGCTCCGAGGGCCTTCTGGCGGTTCCCTCATTGCGAGAAGTGAGGG